TAGTGATTGATTCCGCTGCCTGCAGCAGCGGGTCTCCTGGATCACCCCCCTTTTCATTCTCTTGTGCATGCCTTTGCACTCTCCTCTTCCCCCACTCTCTATCTTTCTCTCTCTCACTGAACACTCCCTCTCCTGCTGCACAGTTTCTCTCTCTCCCGCTGCACAGTCCCTGTCTCTCTCTCTCCCTCACACACACACACTCAAACAAGCGGCCGCCATAGCTACCGTTGACCGGGACCAGCACTGAACCACAGTGCCTCGCGAACAGGTACGTTCACTGGGCTCGACGCTGTTCGCTCTCCGTGAGCTGCGGTCGCTTGCCCGTGCGCACCGTCTCCTCTGTTCGCCATACTCTTCAGCCGGGTCATTCCAATCCCGGGTCGAAGAGCTTATGTGGACTGCGTACGCCAGGCACACAGTCCAGTCCGCGCTGCTCCTCCATGATTGCTTCTCTTCCCTTCCCCGTGGGCGGCGTACACCATGCGCGCGGTCCCCTCCCAAAGTCAGAACCCTTGCTTGTATAGCTGCCTGCAGGCTGCTCCCTTGAGCCACCAGCTGGACTGGTACCCGGGTGGGCAGGCCCATCCCTGAAAAGAAATGGGTAAAGCTGCTGGCCCGGTACCAGCAACTGCCCCGGTACCACTTGTTGGCCTGGACTATAGATCCAGGCCCGGTGAACAGGCCTCTGGTCCGGTACCAATGGGACCAACAACAGGCCCAACAACGGCCCTTGTGGCGCAGATCCAGGCCTGGTACAGTTGCCATATCGGCAGCAATCGAGCCGCATTAGTAAACCGTACCTGCGTCGAACCTGAAATTAAACGCTAGCTTGCAGCGCCGAACCCAGAAATTGCCCCAACTCGTACCAGCATCCGTTTCATACCAGTGTCGAACCTGAAATGATCATCCGGAGTCGACGGAGCCCGTGCCGTGCCATGCTCAACCAAATCAGAACATGAAATATGTCGAGTGACGTACAATGCCGCAGCGCCGTGATAGTTTCAAACCTGTCCCGAACCAGTAGTTAATTCACAGGCGTGTWCCACACTGATGTCAGCCCAATGYYGTGCCTGAAATRTGTCAAATACCGTAGGATGTCGGAATYCCGTAATAGTACCAAACCTCCCGAACCATACCTCAAACCCGAAGCGGCGATCACACCGGCGCAAAGGAGCCGTGGGGCCCAATCAAGCAACATAGCGGTAAAACCACACCGTCCGTCACTCATATCACACAGACTGCGGTGAGAGTAGAAATCAGGGAAATCAGGTAAGTCACACAAGCAAATCTCAATCGGCAGAAAATGAGAGAACAGTCGGAAGATGAATAGATAAATAACCCGGGGTCAAAATTAATCGCGAACAATTAATTTAAAAATTAGTTAAATATTAAATAATTGTTGGTTCCTTCGCCCCTTTTATTATTTTAATTATTTTTTTATTTCTTAATTTTATATCATAAATAATGAAATTAAAAGCATTTTCTTCAAAAATGGTTCCCGACAAAATTGAATAAAACATCAAAATCCCGTTTTCTCTTTTCTTTTTATTGCTTCTGATCCCTTTTCTTGTTTTTAATTCTATTGCCGGAAACACCAAATAATGAGGGTGATTCCATTAAAATTAAATACCAAGCAAATAAAAAATATATATATATATATCTGTTTTTTTTTCTCTTTTTCTATTGTTTTTAATTCTTTTCCCATTTTTAATTTTAATATTGAAATTAAAAAAATCTGAGGTCCCATTTTCGCGTCAGTTGCACAGCGTAAAAAGGCCTTACCAAAGCCCACTCTCAAATCACCTTCCTGCGGCCAGTCGTTCCCGGAACGGGCTCGGAGTTGGCGGAAAAGAGGTAGGCCTCAGCGCAGCGGAAGAGGTAGCCCCTCTCGTCAATTTCTAGGGCTAGTCTCAGCAGTCGTCATCTCTAATTTTAGGGGTGCTCGAGGTACCCCTAATTTTTCCCAACCGGTCGGACAAAAGTCCCTACCGATTCTTTCTCAGCCAACTTTTCTAAAGGTCAATCTGCGGATATTAGGGCGACCGACTGGCCTTCGGTCGCCCGACACCGGCACACGTGAGATGTTGCTATTCCCAAGAGAGGACATCCTTCACTGGAATGCACCACCGCTGTCAAGGCTTGTGGGAGAGAGGGGAGTGCGGCGGAGGGTGGGGACAAGAGGAAGGGGAGGGGGGAGAGGAAGGGGAGGGGGGAGAGGAAGGGCGCAGGGAAAGGGGCTCGCAAGGGGGAGAGGTAGGGGCAGTTTGGAAGGGGAAGAGACAGGGCAAGGGGGCAGGGATAGGCGGAGGCAGGCGAAGGGAAAGGGGGATAGGCAGAGGTTGGGGAAGGGGGAGGGGGAGAGGGAGAAGCAGGGGAAGGGGACTGAAGGGAATTTTGATGATGAAACCGTGAAAGGGTTAAGTGAGCACATGGATGATAGCACATAGGTAATTGTGAGAACTCAGAAAAAGCTCAAACGACTTTACCCCACTGTTATATACAAGTTGAATCACTCGAATGGGTGCCACTCCCCCAGCGTCTGGGTTTTTGTATTTATCATCCATCGGCAAGTGATCTTCAAGCTCCTGTGAATGATTCAACAATTACACCGGAAGTGCCAGGCAGGCTTCAAGTTAGTCGAATTCTCTTTTTAATAATTCCCGAAAACGATAAAAAATCATGACGCCAGTCTATGTGGACCCATTCCCTCCACCAACAGTTGGATAACAAGCCAGCCTCTTTGCCAGCCTACGCAGACCCATTCCCTGCAGCGACAGTTGGATAACGAGCCAGCCTCCTCCATGGACCATGGAGTCCATCAATTTCTTCTCTCCTTTCCTTAACTAGCACCTTCATATCTCCACCTCTTGCACTCATTTCTCAATCAGTCCTGACTCATGTATTAAGTAGAGAATCAAGATAATTTACAACACTGCTTAGTCCATCAACAAATATGTTGAAACTTTCTTGAAGGATTCCTTTTACACTGTTTTGAAAATTTGGACCATTTCTCGATTTATGCGTGTCATCCTTGCTCAAGGGCCATGCTAATCTATCTTCTCTATATCATTCCAATTGTAACGGATGTCCCGGAGGACAAACTCTTCGAGGATTCCTACTGTATAATTTGGAGAGAAAGGAGGATTCCCAACTTCATTAACAAATATGTTGAAGCTTTCTTGAAGGATTCCAACTTCATTCCATAAACAATATGTTGAAGCTCTCTTGAAGGACTGTTTTTTTCTTCTTCTGAAGTTAAAACAGGTTCTTGAAGGACTGCTTACTTCATTCCAGAAACAAATATGTTGAAGCTTTCTTGAGAGATTCTTAACTTTGCGAGGAATGAGCCCTCGCAAGGCCCTTTTTAGGCACTCAGACGTTCTGGGCTCAGGCCCCAGCAAGCCTCATGCCCGCCCTAAGTGAATGTGGGCCTGCATATTTGCATGAGGCCTATTTTTCAAGGCTGGTCCCCGGGCCGCCCAGCGGCCTGGCCGTCGCCCGGGGGGGGTGCCGGGACGCCTGGCCGGTTGTCGCGCCTGGTTGGCCACCAGGCACCCCCAGCGCATCACTGTAGGTTAGGGTTTTTTTTTTTTTTTTTTTGGCGCTGGGGCCCTTTTTGTCCCCTTCATAAACCATGTGAGGATTGAGCCCTCAACGGGGCCTTGCCGACATACATATGTTCTGGGCATAGGCCCCCAGCAAGCCTCGTGGCCGCCCTAAGTGAAGGCGGGCCAGAATATCCACGAGAGGCCTTCATTCAGCATTTCCCAAAGTGGGTATCAGACAGTTGCCGCAAACCAGTTGGTTGAAGTGCATCGTGAGCCTCCGACTCCTGCAAAGGCAGTTGAGCCCAGGGCCGGGGTTGTTTGAGCCCTGGGCGACAGTCTGGGAGGCCGACACATCACACATTGGTCCCTGGCCTATGGAAAAGCAGTATTTCGTCATAGAGGCCGAGGAAGCCAATGGGAAACCGGTACGGGGCCTGAATCTGGACAATGGCCCTAGCATAAGGGGCGCAACTGTATTACCTGGGCCCCATCTGCATTGGGCCTGGGGCCCAGGCGCAGGCTCAAGGTAGACCGCCCACACGCAACACTGGCATATAGGCAGAGCGGGCGAGTGGGCAGGGATCTTGGCCATTGCGAGCAAAGCCGGCACGCTGTTGCATTGCGAGGTGCTGCGCTGCACTGGGCTGAGAGAAGGCAGGCTGGTGCTAAGCAGTAGGGCGCAGCCCGGGCGCAGGGCGCTGGCAGCCATAGCCAGGCTGCATGAGAGCGCAGGAGGAGGTGAGGGCGAAGGTGGTTCTTCGGGAGGTGAAGGGCGCTGTGTGGGATAACAAGGGAGAGGGAAGGAGAGAGAGTGACGTACCTGGTGGAGAGGAGGTCGGCATTGGTGTTGACGTCATCACTCGCTGGTTGTCAAGTCATCTGGTTGTTTCCATGCTGTAGTTGTAGGATAGGCTGTAGAGTAGATAGGGCGCCTGGTGCCATTCAAGAGAGAGAGCTACTTCGGGTTATGTTGTTGGTGTTGCCCGAGTGGGCTTGGACATTGACTCACGACTTTTGCTGTATCGTTCTCAAATGGATGGTTTCTTGGTTCCAATGTGTTATCTGCTCTTGCTTTGACTACTTGGACTTCAGTGTGATTTGCAATTGGGATTTCTGTGCTTCGTCCACATTCATGTTCCTTGCAACCGTGTCGACCGCGAAAAAAAAAAAAAGCGGGGCCGGTAGGCCCGATTTCACCGATTTGAAATCGGGCCCCATCTGGATCGTCGATCTCGAAGATCGATGGCCCAGATTGCACCAATTTCAAATCAGTGAGGGTGGGAACTACCGGCCCCCGTTCCCTCCCCCGTGCTGAAGATGTGCCCCCGACGTCCCCCCTTCCCTGCCTTGCAGCACTGTGTCCCCGCCGGCCTTCGACGTGCAACTTCAACGCGCTTCTTCGACGCACCCCGCCAGCACCTGCCAACGCCCGCCATCACGAGTGACCCCGCTGTCGCCCGCCAACGGCCGCCTTCAACAAGGTAAGGGACTTAGTTGGAGAGAGAGAGAGAGAGAGAGAGATCTTCTTCTTCTTCTTCTTCACTTCTTCTTCTTCTTCTTCTTCTTTGTCTCCGTTTCGAGCCCCCCTTCCCCCCGCCCTCCACCAGCCGTCTTCTTCTTCTTCTTCCCCTTTGCTGCTTCAACTTCTTCTTCAGCTCCTTCTTCTTCTTCTTCTTCTTCTTCTTCTCCTCCTTCGCTTTTTCTTCTTCTTCTTCTTCTTCTCCTCCTCCTTCCCTTCTTCTTCTTC